TAAAGAGCTATTTTGTGCAGGACATAATGATACATAAAGTGTTTCATAGAACATTTGACTTATAACCATGGGAAATATTTGATGAGCTTATCATCCACTAAATAAAATATACAAAAGTGGTGTGATAAATTATGTTAATGACATGGAATGATAAAAAGCAACAGGGACTGAAAAGAATAAATTGTCTTTCAAAAAGTTACAGTAAAGTAAAGTTGTACAGTACAGTAAAGTACAGTTACAGTAAAGTAAAAACATAATGTGATACAAAAACTCAAACATATGGGAGGGAAATCTCTGTGAATGATCCAGGAAGGTTGATCCAGGAGTGTGAGGAAAAGGAAGACTGTTGTTTATATATAAGTTTTAAAAGTTTGTACAGGAGGTCTTTATGTGGGGGCCTATGGAGTAACGTCACTTTGTCTTAGCCAATTCTGACAGCCATAACAAAGTACAGTAGATGGAGTGGCCTAAACACAAATATTTATTTCTGAAATATCTGGACTATCAAAAATCCAAGATCAAAGCACGAGGAAGCAATGCTGGTGCTTGATGAGAACCATTTTCCTGGGTTTCAGGCTGCAGATTCCTTATTGAACTGTCACATAGTTGAGAGCAGAAAAAGCGCCCAGGTCCTTCTGTGTCCATCGGAGGGAACTAATCTCCTACGCAGAGTCTCTACCTTCATGTATACATATAACCCGAACCACCTTTTCAGGACTTCACCTTTTAGTGCCACTGCCCATATGTGCAGGAGGAGAGGGGGAGCATTTCAGCATACAAACCTTAGATAATATTCTGCTCCAGTTTATCCCCAAATCTTTGTGTTCTGTCAAATGCATTTGTTTCCTCCTCAAAGTCCAAAGCATCTTAGTTCATTACACACAGTCCAACATTTCATCTAAAGCCATGTACATCAAATATGGATGAGAAAATGTTCTGATTTCTTCTGAGACAGAATTTCTTTTTATCTGTGAACCTGAAAAACAAAAACAGGTAAGTGCTTTTAAAATACAAGAATAGAAGAACCAGGTGTAGCTCAGTGGCACAAGCACGTGCCCGGCAAGCACAAGGTCCTGAGTTTGATTCTCAGCTCAAAAAAAAAAAAAAAAAAAAAAAAAAAAAAAATTAAATAAATGCAAATGTGAAACCAGCATAAATCCATATTCTCAGCTCTAGAGGAAGAAGTAAGGAAGAATAAAGGAATAAAAAGTAGGAGAGAGAAAAGCAAAAGAAGCCAAACAGAAAACATTTCCAGCATTAGCATTATTCTGGAGGGGATTTATGGGATGTACGTAAAGTAAATAGCATTCTTCTGCACCTGCTAGTTACTGGCTCAGGAATTCTGGGGAAGTTGTTTGCAAACTTGTAGACATTTTAGTCTCCCCATGCATGTGGGGCAAGTAGTTTCAGTAGTCAAGGGATAGCTGCAGGTGCAGTTCATTAAGACAAAAAAAATTTTCAAGACAGTAGTGTGTGTGTGTGTGTGAGTCTGATTAAAGAACCAAAGAGTGGATTTTTAATATAACATCAGTATCCACCCAAATCTAAAATCCAGCAAAACAATATCATACTGTACTTGAGAAACAGGTGTTCTTTGATCTCTCCCTTAAGCAAATACCTTTCCCACATCTAGCTTATTTTCGAGCTATCAGCCAGATTGATCTTCTCTAAATGTGTTATGTAACAATCTTCTAAACAGCTTTTCATCGCTCTAAAAATTAATGTATATTTTTTATTCTCTATTATCGAGGCCTAAGGGACCCTCATCCTGCTTTATCCTTGAATCCATCTAATTCAGCTAGATTTTTCGGTTCAAAGACCTATATTCTATAAGAAGAGGACATCAACTTTAGAAAATACCACAGGAAGTGAAAAAATGCTATCCAAATTTTCCTGCAAGGTCAACGGCCAAAAGAAAAGAAACCAATGTGGTGGTCAGCTAGGAATTTGTTCTATTTTGTCGAAGTGAGATAAAGGCTGTCTTTTGAAATTCTTTGACTATTCATTTTCTACTATACTATCACTGATCTACAAAATAAAGGACATTTGCTCAGTTATTACCCATTAGATATTAATTTCCCATTTCATATTTTCTAAACACTAGTTTTCATTTTAGTCTTATATTTATTTCAGGGTTTTACATTGTTTGTGAATAATGTACCAACTGCCCCATTGTTTGTAGTTAAATGTAATCAGAAAAGCCCAGATGCATGACACATGCTATCATGTGAGAGAGGCAGAAAATAAAAAGATTTTTTATTTTTTTAAACTTTAGAAAGCATTTTCCTTCATACATTAGTTTTATAGTAAGTAATACATATGGAAATGAGGTTACATAATTATGCTGGAACGAGGCAATTTCTCTGCATCATGACAAGCATCTGTAATAATATGTGGCGATCAATACTTTCAGTGCTGCTCTCCTGGACACATTATCTCTAAATCTATAAACAGAGAGGAATCAATTGATGATGATGATGATGACGACAGCAGTGTAGTGGGTTACCACTATACTAACTGTTTTGAAGGGGTAACTTATGTAAAAAAATAAATGCATTAGTGGTTGTGAGTCTGAAAGGTGGTTCTAATGCCCATTATCTTTACACTATTTTCAAATTACTTAAATTCCTCATGCCTCAGGTCTTTCATATGTATGTGTTGCTTCAAAAATAATATATGGTCTTGACATAGGTATGGCTGTGATTTAAAACTGATAGAAGTTCAGAAGGAAATTATAAACAATACTTTGTGACACATGCTAATTATTCTCTTTTTGTAAATGGAGTAATTGGAAGAAGTGACATGAGCAAATACTTCAAATATCTCACCATCAGTAAATAAAGCAAACTGAACCCTCATGATGACCTTTTTGCTTTGGTAACCCATTAAGGACTCTATAACTGTTTGGTCCAGCATCAGGTTTCTAGGCTATGGTAGATAAATCAGACTCCACTCTCATGCTTTTTAAATTCTAATTAGAAATCAGCATGATTTGCTTGTAGGAACTGAAGTGTTAATTTTGAATTCAACAGATACTATCACCCAGATATTCCACCACGTTGGGGAAGCTTAGCCAGTTTTTTTTTTTTTTTTTTTTTTTTTTTTTTTAAAGTAAGCACAACTCAGGTTGGGAGAAAGAGGACAGAGACAGAGTGATAAAGAGAGCAGAAAAGAGAATGTAAAAGCCTTTTTGGTAACGAGTCCCTAATTCTGTGATCTTTGTAAAAAATGTTTTTAATTGACAAATAAACATATGAAAATTACACATTAATGTGATACTATATATTGTGTAGATACATGTTTATATTGTATAATGTTTAAATCATGCTGCATACATATCTGTCTCCTCAAATTTTTATCAATTCTTTATGTTGAAACCTTACAATTCCTTGCTTCTAGCTGTATAAAATGTGAATTACATCAGTGTTATCCCCTCTGCAGTGTGCTACTGCACACATCAGATCTTCTGACTCATCAACACTTGTAACTTAGTGCTATTGGTCAAATCTTCTCCAGCTCTTTGCTGGGCCTAGCAGCTCCTGCCTTGAGTAATCACCATTCTATTCTTACCTGTGATAAGTTCAGGTTTTTCAGGGTTTTGGTTATGAGTGAGATCATGGAATATTTGCCTTCCTGTGACCAAATTATTTCACTTCACATAATTTTTCTCAGTTTCATCCCGGTTGTTACAAATGATAGGATTTCATTCCTTTTAGTTCCCGACGTTACTCCACTATAGATGTGTCTCATTTTCTTTCTCCCTTCATCAGTTCATGGAGACTTACGTTGTTTGTTTCTGGACTACTGTGAGTAGAAGGTGCAGGTGTCTGTTTCATACCTTGATTCTATTTACTGGCACAGACACCTGGGGCAGGGATTGTCTAGCAATCCTATTTTTAACTATTTAGGAACCTACAAGATTTTTTCACATCTTTGTGCCACTTCTATTTCCATCAACCGTTGCCGGGTTTCTTTTGCTCCACAAATTCACCAATTCTTCTTATCTTTAAATTTTTAATAGTAGCCATTTTCACTGGAGCAAGATGATTCTGTCTCTGATTGCAATTCTTTGAAGATAAGTGATATTTACTATTTTTATATAATTATACTACTATCTCTTAATTCATTGAAGTTAACAGTTTTTGTTCATAGTTTGATCAATTTTGCATGCCTGTATCTTATAATCTGAGCAACAACCTCAAAGATAACAATATGCATTATAGTAGCTATTGTTAATTTCCTATTATATTGTTATGAAATTGTGTGTCATTGTTTTATTGTTTTGTCTTCTTCAAAAACCTAGGTCCATACCCAGGGAAAAAAATAAAAATATTTATATAGGTCTATTGTTCTTTTTAAAATCATGTTCTTATTATTCTCATTTTTACTTCTAAGATTTGGAGTTCCTTATGTATTCTGCATGTCAACCCCCTTTACGATGTACAGGTTTCAAGTACTGTTTCCCACTCTGTAGTTTCACTACTTATTCGATTGGTTCTTTCCTCTGATTTGCATTAAATATGCTTAGAGTTGAATCCCACCTGCCTATTTGTGCTTTGGAAGCTAGAGAATGTATTTTCAAAAGTGATAGGCAGTGTGAATAGCACATGGTTGTTAAAATGTATGGGCTCATTCATACCTGTATATATTAACATTGATTAATTTTATGGGCTTTGCAACACTTTATTATAACTGATACCTTGATTGTAGAACTTAATTGTTTCAAAAAATAGTGTTTTATACATATTTTAACATTCGTATGACTCACCAACTGTAAAATGTCTATCCGGTTACATGAAACACACATGTGTATGGGTGTAATCCCTAATTATTTATATGGTATATGAGTTTTTAATGATAATTAACTGATGTAATACAGAAAAATCATATTTACATTATACATAGATATAAAATTTAAGGCTCACAATAAACTTTTTCTTTACAGGTTGTGTGGAGGTATAACCCAACTTAAAAACCATGTTTCTTTTCCAACTTTCCAGGTGAGACAAATTACATTGGGTTTGGCATTCTTTTGAAGTCACAGATAATGAGGACATTTCATTGCCTGTCACCATTTATTTGGATCTGCATATTCCACACCTTTGACACCATCGCATCACAAGAAAAATCTAACAGCCATTTAACGAGCAGAAGTGTCACAAGTCCGACCAAAAATGATGGTAAGATGCTGCATCGCGTCAAGCGGGGCTGGATGTGGAACCAGTTCTTCCTGCTGGAAGAGTACACAGGTGCAGACACGCAGTATGTAGGCAAGGTAAGACTTTTGCATAAGACATTAGAAAAATGTTTAGAGTGATAAGCATTTGATTGTTTTCATACGTCTTGCCTGTCGGTAATAATCATTCAAAACTGTCTAACTAATTGTGACAGCAACATATAACATGATATGACAAATTCTTTGTTGGGATACTGTGTAGTGCATGACATGCTCAGGTGCTAAATATAAATAACAATTTTTAATAGGCATCAAATTAAAATATATTATGAAGTCCAGATTCACTATTAATCACGTAAAAAGGATTTAATTGCATATGTATGGTTATAGGAGAAAATTTCCTTGAATTTTACTTTAAAATCATGAAAAAGCAACATTGTGTTCCATGAGACAAAACAAAATGCAATTATAATGTGCAATAAAATTACTAAAATGTATTGGTATTTATTATTGACTAATTCACCATGAAACAGGATTATATATTCTGTATTAAGAAAGATATATTTCTAGATGATTGTTTGTCTAGGTATTAGTCAAAGTGATCTGCTTGCAGCCTATAATACTAAAATTTTAAAGCCAAAAGAAAAAAGAAAAGATACAAAGAAGACACTACTTTTAGAAAGATAAAATTTTATGTTAATAGGTAAAATATCAATAGTTCCTCATTTGCAATGATATTTGCAAATAATGGCAGATAATATATAACTGTCTTCTTATTTCCAGTTTTAAGATTGCTTCACTGGCAGTATCATTCTTTGCCTTTAATATTTGTAGAGTTTATTTTCTACTTTCTTCAATTGTTTCCTTCTTCTTTGTTAGTGACATGATCTTTCTGACATCCAAAATTTTCAATTTATCTATCATCCCCGTACCAATCTCTTCAACATTATTTCCGGACAATTAGGTTGCTCTTTTGTATTAATTTATACCAATTGTGAGGTTCTCTCAAATTCGTAGAATGAACGCTGAAAAGGTAATACTGTAAACACAATATGCGTGGATTTTTCTTGATTTTTGCACACATATACCACTTGTGATTGTAATATCTGAGCTCCGATTCATTAATACCACCAGGCAAATAAGTCAGAAACAGTCAAAAATGAAAGCAGGTGGTGTGCCTGTATCTTTTAAACCAGAAATATTTATTTTGAAATGGCTGAAAGCTTGATCTATGTGTTCATTTTATATGTGGGCCAATAGGCTTTTCTGATGCAGCCTCTCTTATCACAGCCTATTATTTCAGTGTGTTTGATATCTCTCTCTCTCTCTTGTTCTAGAGGTCAGGCCCACTTTGTCCCGGTCAGTTCACCTGCTGTGTCTCTCTCCTCCGTTATTTCTCTTCAGGTTAGTTAGATGGCTTCTCCAGCATCCTTCATTTAACATAACTTTCCACACTCTGCTTGATAAGTAACATCAGGACATTTTGAGTTCAACAAGCGTTTGTGTCTAAGGACTTGAAATTGCCTTATGATTCTTTTTCTAAGGCGGTGTATAAAGGACACACTCAGGTCACAGGGCTTTACAGAAATGGTTTCATCCTTGGAGAGTCACGGTCACAGAGAAGTACCACAGATAAAAAGAGATACTCGTAATCTTCAGGCTCTTAGGACTCTATAGTAAGCGTTTAATTTTAGTTGAAAGCAAAACCGTTTCCTTCTAAGCCCTGAGCTTGCTTTGGTATAAGTTTCTAAATTGATCATCATTTTTACGCTGACATTATGAAATGTAGACTATGTTTGAAATAGTTTTTCTCCCATAAACAAATTATTCATTTTTTGGAAGCTATTTAGCTCTAAAAGCAAACTATGTGCCTCACATGCAAAGCACATTATCAAAGCTTTTGTCTGATGAGATAATCAAATCAAAGCTCCGTGTCTTGTCTCCTGCTTTAATACTTACCATATAAAAATATGTGTTTGTATTTGTGTGTGTGTGTTTGTATTTGTGTGCGTGTGTTTGTATTTGTGTGTGGGGGGCGTATGGGTGTGAGGGAGTGAAAGAGAGAAAGTTCACCAAAATAAAATACCTATACTTTTTAGTTTTTTGGAAAATTTAAAAGCTTTCTATTTTGCTGTAGTGTCTTGTTTTACATATTTCATTACCACATACCTAGTTCACTATAAAGGTGCACCTCCAAGTACTTTTTAGCGTGTATTAAATTATTAAGAGTTTATCTACTCTCCCTAACCTGTTATCCTGGCTGCCTATATGGAGGCTAATTCTGAAGGTAACACTGAACCTGGTTAATAACATGAATTCTTTTATCCCAATAAGTTCTTAAAACTCAGACTATGAGTGGTGCCACATTGCTTCCGTTTTTCCCAGGTAAACCCAACCCATAATGTTAACAGGCATTGAATTGGTGACGTTATAATCCATCATGTGATTTCTGGGCAAATTCTTCAGGATTGAGAAAAGTCAGGTTCATGAAAAGAGATTTTCATAGTTCATTGCTTTTGTAGAAGTGGTGTATTTTTGAAAATGAATACTATATTAATTTACAGGTAATACACAAGTGAAGGTAGAAAATATCTAATTATTAAAGTAAAATCAAGGGTTAGCTTTTGCATTTAAAAAAGTTTTAGAATAAAAAAATTAGCAGCAAAATTTAATGTACTTTAGTAAAAATACACATCCTGGTATGGAATTTACAAGATTTAATTCAGAATTTTTCGTTCGGTAAATCTATGGAATTTAGAAATTACAATATTAGGTCCTTGTAAAATTGTTATAAAAAAAAAAGAAAGGAAAGAAAGGGCAAGGGAAGGAGGGAAGAAGGAAGATATAAGAATAATCTAATGAAACCAAGTTAAATCTTTACCGTGAGAAGGATAATACCAGACTGAGTAGTTTTTGCACACAGTATGAAATATAAAAATCTATTAAATGTTTTATATAAATTAGTTATGGGTGCAGGATGTCTAAAATAATTCATTTGCTTTTATTGTTGAAATGGATTACAGAAGGAAGAAAATATATAATTCACTAGTGATTTTAAAGTATGATTATATTCAGTGTGAGGAATTGACATACACACATAACACACTTCAACAGTTTTCTCCCCCTTCACTTTCCCTCTTGCCTTCCTCCACACTGAACTGATATCTTTTGGGTACATATTTAGTAGTGGGATTGCTGAGTTACATACTGGATCTATTTTTATCCTTGTTTTGGTTTCTTTTTTATCAACATATGCTTTCGATACATAGAAATTACCATAGTCCGGTGCATATACTTATCACCTCTTAGTTATTTTTATTTCTCTACTGCCCTTCCATATTGTCCCATCTCCATAAAGTTTACTTCAGTGTTTTTCATCCTCTCCCTGTGATTTGGTTCTTTAAATTATTTGTATTTAGCATTAGGAAATAAATGGTGAATTTTTTTTCTTGGTGACATTGCAGTCTTTTCAGTTATAGGAAACAGAGAAGTCAGAAAGACTGGAATTAGAAACAAATTTATATTTTTTCTTCATAATAACGCAATTCCATATTTTGTTCGTTATTTTTGACTAAAAATTTCAGAGATTCACCAATATTGTTTGGTGTAATAAGGAAAAACGTCTGTTCTTACTAAAAAGGATTACAAAGTCTTAAGAATCGCCACCTGCTATATTTCAAAACTAATGAAAACAAAGGAAAATTGCAATTATTGTACAATAGATACTGGGAGACACTTGAAAATAATAAAGTGAAATACCAGAAATACAAAACATCAACTATTAAAACTTCCTTTAATTTTTAAATGGCACCTCTGAAGTAATTTCTGAGGTTTCAGTATCTCTGTTGTCGATCATGCATATTAGTCAGCTTTCTGTCACTGATATACAATAGCTCAAACCTCTAATTTAGAGAAGCAAAAAATTAATTTAGAGTCTGTGCTCTTTGGGTATAAAACAGGAACATAATAGCAAAAGGATCTGACAGAGATAAGCTGCTTATTTTCTGGCGACTGAGAACCAGCACAGAGGACATTTACTGACTATGGGCTGTGAACTATAAATGGGATCCAACACACTCTTCTATGATCCACTAGGGTACACTAGCCAGGATGGTACTTTACTCATTTACTAGACATTTCTTGTCTATTGAAACTGATGTATCAGGAGTAATAGTCTCACCACAGTTCTGGACACATTTAAATGTGTTTCTTCCTACTTATATAAGAACTTATTTAGCCAGTGATTAATGGGAAAGTCAAATGGAAAGTTAAAAGTTGAGACATCTTCAAAATAAAAATCAGCATTATTAGAGATGAGCAGAGGTATATTCTCAACTCTGCAAATTGCCTTATCCAGTGGGGATTTATGGAAAAAAAAAACCATGGAAATAGTCCAATAAAAGTATAATGAAACTATATTAAGGCACTATGCTGCCTTAAATTCATGATAATACAGCTTAATTTTTTTATTATAAGTACTGGTAACATTTTACAATTGATTTGATAGAGGTTATTTATTGATCATTTACTAGAAGCTTTAGAAGACTGAAAGATATCCAAGCAAGGCAGACACAAAATTTATTTTAAAATAACAGAAATCCAGGGAATTGGTAATACATATAATTTCCAAAACTTTTTGACACTAATTTTCTCTGGTAGCTTTGGACTTTTCACTATTTATCACTATGCCTTTGCTGTTGTTTTAAAGTGTGAAATCTAATTCTGTGATATATAATAAAATTCAGAGATTGGATTAAAATAAAATTAGAAAAAATTTAAAATACTTTTTAAACTATAGGTGACCAATAATAAAATATTATCCTTTGTAAGAAAATAAGCATCCTATCTTTTAACCATGCAAGGAGAAATCACATGTATGTGGATGATAGAATGAGAAGGAAGCAAACAATACTAAAGAAGGAAATATGAGAAGCACAGTACCATTGATAGCTCTGACTATGAGGAGATAAATCATGACTGCTCCTCTCTCCTGTCATAAAATATGTAATTATGTAAATTGGGTTCTTCCTTCTGCACCTAAGATTAAAGAATGAGCTTGCTTGATGTTTCAATATGATTTTTAAGAAAACAGTTACTTG